GCATCCTCACACCCCATCTCACACCACATCCTCACACCCATCCTCACATCCCATCCTCACACCCCATCCTCACACCGCATCCTCACACCCATCCCCACACACCATCCTCACACCCCATCCTCACACCCGTCCTCACACACCATCCTCACACCCCATCCTCACACCCATCCTCACACCCATGCTCGCACCCATCCCCACACACCATCCTCACACCTCATTCTCACCCCATCCTCAGACCCCATCCTCACACCCATCCCCACACCCCATCCTCACCCCATCCTCACACCCCATCCCCACACACATCCCCACACACCATCCTCACACACCATCCTCACACCACATCATCACCGCATCCTCTCCCCTTCCTCACTCCCCATCATCACCCCATCCTCACCCCATCCTCACTCCCCATCCTCACACCCCATCCTCACCCCATCCTCACACCCCATCTGCACACTGCCTCCTCTTCCCCTGCTTGATTGTTCCCTACGTCACTTATACCACCATCAGTGATATAGTTCTGTGTTTCTCACCAGCCTCCTCCACTGGAACACCAGCTCCAGAGTGGTCCTTGCCTGCTTTGATCATAGTCCTATTCCCAGCTTCCAATACAGGGAGTGGCATGATATATATTTGCTGACTGAATAGTTGCATTGATGCAAATGTGCATATATGTAGTAGATGCTCGATAAATACAATAACCAACGCTCACATAACATGTAGTGTGCACCCGACACTGTTTTAAACGCATTCCATTCATTATCTCATCGATTCCCCTCCCTTCTTCAGCCCTTTCAGCAGGTTCTTTTATCGCCTTCATTTTGTAGATGAGGAAACAGAGGCACAGAGAAGTTAAGTCACTTGCTGAAGGTCACACAGCTCTGAACCAGCAGAGCTGGGATTTGAACTCAGGCAGAGCAGTTGTCCCCATTACAGCTCTGGGCCCAGCCCGTATACCTCCCCCATCCCCACATCTCTTTACAGCCATTCCAAAAGAAACTGGACGGTGGCACTGTCAGCAGGGCAGAGCTGGGTGACCATTCCACGGGAACAGCTCACCTCGTCTGATGAACTCCTTGTCTGGGGGACTGAGGGGGGCCGGCCTCTCTGGCCCCCAGTCTTTGTGAACCTGGAAACTCAAAGTAAGAGGCGGGGTGGGGGATGTGCTGCTTGTGGGGTGGGTGGTCCTGGAGACCCTGGCTCACTGCACCCCGGGCTCCCCCTCCCCAGTGAAACCAGACGCCCCCCGGCTCTGCCCTGATGTGGACTTTTCAGACGATGACCCCCTGGAGGCCACTGTCCAGTGGACCCCACCTGCGTGGCCGCCCCATAAGGTTCTGGTATGCCAGTTCCACTACCGAAGATGCCAGGAGATGGCCTGGACCCTGGTGAGTGTCAGGGGCCCTTTCCTCCCCCCCCCATTCCAGGCAGGAATCATCCCCTAAACCAGAGACCCCCACCCCCAGCGCTCACTCCTCACTGGCCCCAGGAGTCTGTCCCCATCTCACACAAAAGTCCATTAAACCAGTAAGGGTCCTCAGATAGCTTATGTTAACCTTAAAATCGTAATAGCAGCAGCCACTTAGAGGGCATCTACTCTGTGCCAGACATTGTTCTAGGTTTTTTACAAACATGGGTTTTTTGAATCCCTACAAGAATTCTTTGAGGGAGGTGCATTTTATACCTACCCATATTACAGATGAGCATCAGGGCCTGGTTTTCAGGAAACACTCAAAAATAATTAATAAAAGCAGCTGACATTTCTGAGCACCTGCCGGGCATCAGGTCCCAAGCTGAGAAATCTGCGTGGATTGTCTTCATGAGTGCCTCCAACCTCCCTGTATAGTAGATGCCTTTAAGATCTCTATTTTACAGTTGGGGAAGCTGAACCTCAGAGAAGTTAAGCAACTTTCCCCAGCTCACACAGCAAGAAAGTGGAAGGCGACTGCAGAACACTGGAACCCCAGAAGGAGTTGGGGGACCTGCCTGTGCATTTTAGGAGCACAACCCAGAAGTTTCATACATCATTTCCTCTCATATCTCATTGGCCAGAACATAGTCACGTGGTCTCACCTGACTGCAAGGGAGGCTGGGAAATGTAGTCTTTATTCTTGACAGCCATGTTCCCAACTGATACTCAGGGGTTCTATTTCCAAAGGAAGGAGAGAATGGGTATTGGGGATAATCAACTGTCTCAGCCACAGCTTTTGATGCAAAACACCGTGATATAGAGCAGAGCTGTTGTCATGGTGTGTATTCACGCAATTCAGGGCAACGCTGAGATGCAGACTTTGGAATCTGGCGGCCCGGTGATGAATCTCAGCTCCAGCTCTGTGACCTTGGGCAAGTCACTTCCCCTCTCTGGGCCTCATCTGTGAAATGGGGATAAGAACAGAATTTACCTCTTACTGCCATACCTGGCACATGGGGTGACCAACTTGTCTCTTTTTGCCTGGGATTGTCCCAATTTTAAAACCAGAAGCCCCATGTTCTGGGAACCCCCTCGGTCCTTGGCAAGGCCGGACAGTTGGTCACCCGGCTGACATATAAGGTCAAGTATACTCAACTCAGCCTTGGTCTCATGGCTCTCCTGTCTCTCCCTCAGCTGGAAGCAGAACTGAAGTCCATACCCCTGACCCCTGTTGAGATCCAGGACCTGGCGCTAGCCACTGGCTACGAGGTGTCTGGCCGCTGCCGAATGGAGACAGAAGAGGACCTGTGGGGCGAGTGGAGCCCCATTCTGTCCTTCCAGACTCTGCCCTCTGGTGAGGAGCTCCGGGCTTGCCCCATCCCCTCATCCCCCCCTCCTGGAAGTCTGTCCAATCACGCCTTTCTCATTTGTCCCTTCTTGCGACATCCTTGCCGACTCCAAAAGATGTGTGGATATCGGGAAACCCCTGTGGGACACCAGGCGGACAAGAACTTCTGCTTCTGTGGAAGGTGCGTTGTGGGGACAGTGGTATTTCTCTGTGCGAGTTAGGAAACGCCACATGACAATAATGCAAACAAGACAGAGGTTACTGTGCTGCCCTCTTGAGGTGGCTTCAAGGCTTCAAGGCGGGGATGCTCAGAGGGGTCCTCGCACAACGCCGGGCGCCGAGCAAGCCTCCACAATGTCAGCTACTTCTGGGAGGTCTGAGCTGGGGCGTGAAGATGGGTGCAGGTGTTCCAGGTGGGAGGGACAGCAGGTGCAAAGGTTTGGAAACAAGACTGGGCTCAGCTCCACAAAAGAGAGCACAGTGTGCTAAGGACTCGGGTGCTACTACTGAAGGGCTGTTACGAGGTGACAGACCAGGTGCAACAGTCCTCACTGATCCCAATCTGCTGAGAATCTGCTACACCAGGCGTGGCCAGGCCCTGGCTCATGTAAATAGACAGGCAGTGAAACAACAGGGCGCACACCTTCTTGGGCTGTGCAATCTAATATCATTAATTTTAATCACATATAACACTTGTAGAGCTCTTACTATGTGCCAGGTCCTACACACTTATTTATATTGACTGAATTTACAGGTGAGAAATATGAGATGCAGAAAGGTTGCCCCAAACCACACAAGTGGTGAGTGGCACAGCCAAGATTCACTGGCTTTCAAACAGCAATTCACAGCCTCAGTGCGTCCATTTCATAACACATACTTTGTAGTGCCCCTTTACTATACTGAAATGAAATACACAGATAAAATAACGCACGTATACACATGTTTTAAAATGTGTGCAGGTGTTCCCATATTCCAAAAATACAATGTTCTACTTGTAACATTCAGTAGAAAATAAAAGGGAAATAAGGTTACTACATAATGGCAAAAGATTCAGTTCACCAATGTGATATAAGAGTACTAAATCTGTAGGTACCTAATAACATGGCTTCAAAATACATAAAACAAAAATTGACAGAACTACAAAGAGAAATACGTGAATCCCCAACCATTGTGGGAAATTTTAACACACCACTGTCAGTGATTTCATAACAAGCAGATGGAAAACAAGTCAAGATCTAGAAGATCTGAACATGTGGTGAAAAACATCCTAATGGACTCACGTAGGAAACATCAGAACATGCGTTCTTTCCATACACATAAGACGTTTACCAAAATCAACCACAGTCCAGGCCACAGAGCCAGCTTCCAGGGACCCCACAGGGCGGAGGCGATGCAGGGCACGTCGAGAAATCCTCTGATCAGAACACAGATTGTGCTGGGAGTCGATAATCACAACTGCTTAGAAAGTCCCCATATGTTCAGGATATTTTAAAACTCAGTGAATGTTAAAACCAGGCCCCCGAAAGATTTTGTATTTACACGTCAAAAGGAGTTTGGTTCTAGGATCAGTTACAATTATTAGACAGGTTTTTCATCTGCAAAACTTTCCAGTGGGGATGTCATTCAAAAATGAGGGGGACATGGGAGAGTTTTTTTGTTTTTGAAGAGTGTGGTGTCCCTGGCTCTTGCCCATTAGACACCGATCACTGAGGCAACCAAAAATTCTCACGGGTTCCCCCAAAGCCCCTTGGGGGTACCATCCTCTGCTACACATAACCACTCTGGACAACAGTGGGAATTTTGAAATCCCTGAGAACGGCGTAGGATACAGACCAGGCTGAGGCGAGTGAGGCAGAGCCGGACAAGTGCGGGGTCAGGTCCAGTCTTTGCTTAAAGTCTGGACATTCTGTTTGTTGTGGATTTTTTTTTGTATTAATTTTGTTTGATTAAAGTATGTTTTAGGGGCCGGCTGGTGGCGCAGCAGTTAAGTGCGCACGCGGCGCTGTGGCGGCCTGGGGTTCGCAGGTTCGGATCCCAGGCGTGCACTGTCGCACCGCTTGTCAGGCTATGCTGAGGCGGCATCCCATATAAAGTGGAGGAAGATGGGCACAGATGTTAGCCCAGGGCCAGTCTTCCTCAGTGAAAAAGAGGAGGATTGGCGTTGGATGTTAGCTCAAGGCTAGTCCTCCTCACACACACACAAAAAAAGTATATTTTATCTTGATTATTGGGTTTTTGGCATCCTCTCCCTGAAATTCACACCCTCGGTGAGTGCCTCGCTCGCCTCCCCCAGCCCCGGCCCTGGAACTACTCCCGTCCCACCTCTGCTGCTGAGCCCCCTTGCGAGTCCGCTTCCTCGTCTGGAAAGGTGGAGCCTGTGGGCGACCTCGTGGAGACACACGGCACACGCCTGGTAAGTGGGGGATCCTAACACCTCCCTCGTCTCGTCCCTCAGGCCCCGGGGCACTGCGTGCAAGCCAGCTACAGAGTCTGGTTCCAGGTGGAAGGTCAGGAGCGGATCCAGGAGGGGACCCCCTGCTGCAGCTCCTCCCTCCCCCCCCAGGCCGAGTGGGCCGCGGTGTCCGTCAGCGTCAACGCCGCGAGCGGGGAGCCGCTCACCAACCTCTCTTTGGCCTGCTTGGGTAAGAGGCCGTGACCTCCTCCGCGCAGCGCCCTGGAGGGGCAGGAGGGGACTTCCCGAGGGGCCGCTGAGACTTCTCCCCGCCCTCCAGGTCCAGGCTCTGCCCCCCGTGGCGTGGTGGTCAGCAGCATTGCTGGGAGCACAGGGCTGCTGGTGACTTGGCGACAGGGGCCCGGGGAGCTGCGGGAGCATGTGGTGGACTGGGCTCGAGACGGGGACCCCCTGCGGAACCTCAGCTGGGTCCGGCTTCCCCCCGGGAACTTCAGCGCTCTCCTGCCAGGTGAGGCTGGGGACACCTGGGTTCCCATCCCAGCTGCTGGACAGCAGACTGATGGGTGGACTTGCAGGAGAGAGTGTTATGCTTAAAGTATTAATTCATGTGGGAAGTATTCACTGACCACCCACAGTGTGCCAGGCCCTGTTCTAGACACTGGTACACAGAAATGGCAGCTCACATCTGTTGCATTTACCATAGGCATTCAGTCATTCAAAATTCCTGATAAAGTAGGTTTCTGTTATTACCATGCTTGATGTACAGATGAAGAAAAAGGCCCAGGGAGGTTAAGCAACTTGCCCGAGGCCACACAGCAAGTAGGAGGTAGAACCAGGATTTGAACCACATAGTCAGGCTCCTGAAGCCAAACCCACAGCCATCACAGCACTGTCACTCTCCCTGTCAGCAACATCCCCGTCCTTGTGGAGCTGACATTCTTGTGGGGTGGGCAGCCAATGAAGTGAGCAAAAAACCCAAGTACATCCCCAGTGTAATCGGGAAAATAAAGCAGAGTAAGGGGGAGGAGGGAGAATTGCGATTTTAGAAAGAAAGGTTAGGAAAGGCGTCTCTGGGAAAGTGGCAGTTGAACCAAGGCCTGAGGGAGGGGAGAGAGGGAGCCATGAGGATGTCTGGGGGAAAAGCAAGAGAGAACAGACAGTGCAAAGGCCCAGAGGCAGGAATGTGCCTGATGTTACAGGGACAGCGAGGAGGCCCATGTGGCTGGAGCAGAATGAGTGAGGGGGAGAGTGGGAGGAGGTGGGGACAAGCAGATCGTGCAGGGCCTTGTGGGCCACAGGGAGGGCTTGGCTGTGCTCTGAGTGAGGTGGGAGCCGTGGAGGGCTGAGCAGAGGAGGAATGCGCCCTGAAGCTAGTGCTCACGGGTGCCCCCTGGCTGCCTTGGGGGGGGGGACAGCCGGGTGGGGAGGGCTGCGGCTGGGAGGCCTCAGAGAAGGGATGTGGGTGATGGGGGCTGGACCAGGTGGGGACGGAGGAGGGGGGAGAAGCAGGCAGGTTCCGGCTGGGGACTCTGAGAGCAGAATTTGGGGACCCGTTTGGAGATGAGCTCCTCGTCCCAGTGGAGGCCCCCGTGGGAGTCAGACGCCCGCCTGGGGTTTGACACCGGGGAGCCGTCCTGGGTGAAGGGCTTGGGAGAGATGAGGAGGTGTCGAGTGGGAAGTTGAGGACCGAGTCCCCAGGCCCGTCAGTATGCACAAAAGGAGGAGGAGCCCCGATTCTGGAAAATGCCGGTTTGGGGAGGGCGGTGGGCAGGGCTTCAGGAGCCTCCCGCACGCGGCGGGCGGTGTCAGGGCCGCGCGCTCAGGGACCGCCCAGCGCCTGGCGGCCGCGTCTGCTGCCCGAGGTTTGCGCGGTCCCTGAGCGCGTGGCCTGGCTGGACAGCAGGCTGCAGGGGCCCTCGGAGGCAGCCCCCCCGGGCGGGTGGGGTCGGGGGTCCGCACAGCTCCCGCCCCGCCTGCTCCAGCGGCCTCGCGGGCGGCCCCCGCCCGTCTCGCTTCCCGCGGCCGCGTTCGCGTTTTCCGCGGTTACCGCGAAAAAGGACTTGCACTCACGCCTCCGTCTCAGCGTGCCCTCCTGGAGACCCAGAGGACGACTCCCACCCAGTAGGAAGTGAGGGGGCAGGGGACCCGCTCTCACCGCTCTTTGCCCCTCCCCCGCCCAGGGAACTTCGAAGCGGGGGTCCCCTACCGAGTCACGGTGACGGCGGTGTCGCCTGGCGGCGTGGCCCCTGCGCCCTCGCTCTGGATGTTCAGAGAGGAACTGGGTAAGCGGCGGGGCTGGACGGTGGAGGGTCCCGGCACCCCGGCAGACCTTCACGCCCTGGCTTTCTCCCCAGCACCCACGGCGGGGCCCGCGCTGTGGCGACTCCAGGATGCCCCCCCGGGGACCCCCGCCGTGGCGTGGGGAGAGGTCCCCAGGCGCCAGCTCCGGGGCCATCTTACCCACTACACCCTGTGCTCGCAGAGTGAGACCGGGCCTTCTGTCTGCGCGAATGGTGAGCCCCCGCCTCCTGCGCGGCTCCCGGCCCCACGAGTCCCACCCTCGTCCCCAGATGGGCCCTGAGGCGCCCTCTCAGCCCCTGGGAGAGATGACGTCATCAGTTCCCTAGGGAACCGCGACGCTCGTGGGCATCTGTGCAATGCACGTCTGCCGTTTGGCCATTAAAAAGAAACACTCGGTCTAACATTATTGACATGGAAAGATGCCTGTCACATCTTATTAAGTGAAAAAGACAAAAAGATTACAAAACTCCGTGGGATGGTTCCATTTTTGTAAAATAAACTCAGCATTGAGCAGAGCAGAGGCACAAATATGAAAAGAAATTCCCACAGTGCCAACAGGATTGCAGGACTACGTGTGATTTTTATTTCTTTTTCACACCTTTGGGTATAGGTTAAATCTTTACTCTGAACACACATTCCTTTTCTTTTTTTAGGAAGATTGGCCCTGAGCTAACATCTGTTGCCAATCTTCCTCTTTTTCTTTTTTTTGCTCCCCAAAGCCCCAGTACATAGTTGTGTATCCTAGTTGTAGAGTTGTAGCTCTTCTGTGTGGGACGCTGCCTCAGCACCGCTTGATGAGCCGTGAGTAGGTCCATGCCCGGGATCCGAACTGGCGAACCCCAGGCCACCAAAGCTGAATGCGCAAACTTAACCCCCTACATCACCAGGCTGGCCCCCTATTTTTTAACCTAGTTATTTTACCATGATTGCACCTTACAAAAGTATATATAGATCATTAGGCTAAAAATTATGTGTATATATTATATTATTAAATATATACACACATGTATTTATTATTATTATTATTAAAAGAGGACTAGGGGCTGGCCTGGTGGCATAGTGGTTAAATTCTCGTGCTCCGCTTGGGTGGCCCAGGGTTTGCAGGTTGGGAACCCAGGGACGGACCTACACACCACTTATCAACCCTGGCTGAGGCTGCGTCCCATATAAAGTGGAGGAAGATGGGCGTGGATGTTAGCCCAGGGCCAATCTTCCTCAGCAAAAAGAGGATTGGAAACAGATGTTAGCTCAGGGCTAAACTTCCTCAAAAAAAAAAAAAAAGACCATATTATAGGCTATGTTTGGCCCCTGGATCTTATGACTGGTGTCGCTTGGACCTCTTTCTACAGCAGGACGTCTGGACCCATGTTCATCCCATAATCCTGTAACAAACCAAAAGCTACTTCCTCTTTTGTCTTAAAAACCAAAAAAGAGCAATCTGTAAAAACAGAAACAGAAGTCATTCTGAGAGGTCCAGGTGTCTCCCCGCCTCTGGGGAGAGTCTGCCTTCGCTGGGTTCTGTGCAGGGGTACCATGCTCCTTGGTTCTTTGCTTCATTCCAATATAGACCGCTTTTGAGTGCTCTCTCTGTGCCAGGCACTGGTCCAGGGCTGGGGGTGCCCTTGTGGAGCTGACTTTCTAATGGGGGACGTGCAGGCATAGACAAAGTAAATAATATCTAAGCAATGTGGCAGATGGTGGTAGGTGCTGGGCAGAGAATGAAGCAGGGAAGATGAGTGCTGAAGGAGGTTTTAATTTTTTAATTTTAAATGTGGTGGGGTCCGGGAAGGCCTCACTGAGGAGGTGAAATTTGAGCAAAGACCTGCAGGAGGGAGCCGTGTGGATATCTGGGGGAGAGCAATGCAGACAGAGAGAAAGCTCATGCAAAGGCCCTGCGGTAGGACTTGACTGCCTCCCAACCTCTCTGGGTGTGTCCTTTAGTGAGTGGCACCACCCGGAACAGCACCCTGCCCGACCTTCCCTGGGGTCCCTGTGAGCTGTGGGTGACAGCGTCCACCATTGCAGGACAGGGCCCACCAGGTCCCAGCCTCCGACTTCACCTTCCAGGTAGGGGGGCGGGGGTGGGACTGCATAGGAGGGGTCTGCTCAGTTTGAAGGGGATATGGAATGATTGGTTGGCCTTCGTGAATGAGCAACCTTTTGACTCGGGGGGTGGTCACTGGTGACACCTCGGGGGCATTCCGACTCAGCCAACGTGTCTCTCTGACCCTTTCGCCCATCCCTGCCCGTGACCTGTCATGGGTTATGCTCTATTCACAAGCCCCACTCCCACCCCCGGATTTCCCTCCCCCTTAGCCCCTACCCATTCATCAGCCCCGCCCATTTATTCACCCCACTCTGAGCCTTACCTGACCCCTCCCCCCTGGTGTCCACCTGTTCTTCTGCCCCTCCCCCCAAGATAACACCCTGAGGTGGAAAGTCCTGCCAGGCGTCCTGCTCCTGTGGGGCCTGCTCCTGACCTGCTGTGGCATGCGCCTCGCCACCTCTGGAAGGTGAGGGTGTCCGGCCTGTGGGTCTCTGCCCCGGTGGGGAGGTGGCTGGCCCTGGCTGAGCTCCTGGTGGCGGGGGGGGGTGTGGGGGGCGGGGGGGGGACGCCTCAGGGATCTGTGACGTCCTTGCCCCTGCATCCTGGGCAGGGGTGTCCGGCTGCCGGGACTCCCCACCCTGACTCTTCCCTGCCCACCCGCCAGGTGCCTGCACCTGCGGCACAAGGTGCTGCCCCGCTGGGTCTGGGAGAAGGTGCCCGACCCTGCCAACAGCAGCTCCGGCCAGCCCCACGTGGAGGTGAGCCCCAGGCTGGCTCGTCGGGGCCCTGGGCGTGGGGTGCTGGGACAGAGCACTGGTGGGAGGGGGCAGGGGCAGAGGCTCAGCCTTCTCTCTCCCCAGGACGTGCCCCAGGCCCAGCCCCCGGGGGACTCGCCCATCCTGGAAGTGGAGGAGGTGGAGCCGCTCCCGGTTATGGAGCCCCCGCAGGCCTCCACCCCACTGGACTCTGGGTATGAGAAACACTTCCTGCCCACACCCGAGGACCTGGGCCTCATGGGCCCCCCACCCAGGGCCCCAGGTTCTGGCTTGAACTCACCCCAGGCCGAGAGAGGGGTGCTCATTTGACAGATGAAGACACTGAGGCTCAGAGAGGCTGAGTCACTTGCCTGAGGACACCCAGCCAGGAAGGGCTGAGATTGAAGGACGCCTACAGAGAAGGGCCTGGCCCTCCAGGGAATATATGGATGGATAAGGGAGCAAAGGGAAATACATGAAATCCAGAAGGGCAGCTGCCTCCCCACGTCTGTCCTGCTGCTGTGACAGGACTGCAGCCGGGCGCGCTCCCGCCCTCCCTTGCAGCTCGGTGCGGCCACGGACCGAGGTCTCACCAGTGGAAGGAGCGGGAGCAGAAGGGACGTGTGCCCACATGGGGCCGGGGCCGCCGCCGCCTTCTCTTCCCTTTCCCTCGAGTGGGACCATCGACGTGCCCGCCATCCAGCTGCGGCCACACCCAGGGAGGGTGGGGGCGAGAAGGGTAAAGGATCCCCTGTCCCCGTGTGGCTTCATGGATCCCAGCCGCCCGGAGAAATAAACCTGTGTTCACAGCTCCTGTAGCTGGAGGGCTGTCTGTTAACGGCAGCCGCTCCATCCTCGCACTGACTCTCAATCTTTGATGCCAAAAGATCTAAGTCCTCGATTTCCCCCCGGAGATGGAGAGGTCGTTCTGTGCCACACCACAGACACGCACGCACACACCTACCCCTTCAACCTGTCCGAATGCTGTTTTATTTCAAGTATAAAGGCTCCATCGCAGAAGGGGCCAGGGTCAAGGCAGGGGAGAGGGCTCTGGAAGCCCAGGCGGAGGTGACGGCCAGTCCGTGGTGCCCTGTCTGCCCCCGGGGCCCTCCGCTGGCTGCCGAGGCCGAGGTAGCTGAGAGAGGCGCTGGGCGGGGAGGCGGCTCACATCACCGCACAGCACTGGCACGTCTTCTGCTTTGGGCCGCCTGCCTCCTCGCCCTCAGGAGGGGCAGGTGGCTCGGACCGCCGGGTGGGCGCGTAGGTGGGCACGGGGTGGGCGCGGGGGTTGGCCCTGGGCCCCTCCACCTGAAGCAGGGGCTGGCACTCGGCGGGCTGCTCCGGAGCTGGGGTCTCTACCAGGAGCGGGGCGGCGTCCCCGGAGGGGCTTGGGCCCTCCACAGGGGTTTGGGGCCTCACTGCTTCCTCCTCCAGGGAGCCTTCCTGCTTCTCTGGGGGCCACCGTCCTTCCTCCTCGGCCCCCAGGGAAGCGCCTGCCTCACTCACCTCGTCCACCTGACCTTCCTTTCCTCCCCCGGGCTCGCTCTGCTCTTCTGGACTCAGATCCTCCTTGACCCCTTGCATCTTCTCTGCCTGCAAAGGCTCCTCACCTCCCGTTCTCTCTGCCTTCAGAGATCCCTCACTTCCTCTTCTCTCAGTCACCAGCGGGGCTCCGGTCGCCTCTAGGCTTTCCTCATCTCCTTTGTGCTCTACTCCCAAGGGCTCCTCAACTTCCTGCTCTGCCCCTAGCTTTTCCTCACCTCTCTCCTCTGCCCTCAGTGACTCATCTCCTTGTCTTTCTGCTCCTGATGGTTCCTCAGCCTCTAGCTTCCCCTCACCTCCTTCCTGCTCTACTCCCAGTGGCTCCTCACCACTTTCCCCCTCTGCCCTCAAAGGCCCCTCACCTTCCTCTCTTTCTGCCGACAGTGGTTCCCCACCTCCTTCCCCGTCTGTGCCCAGCTTCTCACCTCCTCTCCTCTCCGGCTCCGAGGACCCCCGTCTTCCTCTCCTCTCTCCCACCGGAGGCATCTCCGCCCCTTCCGCCTCTGCGCCTGCCTTTTGCTCACTTGCGCCCACGGAGGCCTCAGCCCGGCTCCTCTCCACCTTCCAGGGCCCCTCCCCTCGCCCCCGCCCCGCCCGCCGGGGACTCGCAGCTCCTCCCTCCCCCACCGAAGCCTGTGACCCTCCCGACCCCTCCACCACCAGCTCCTCCCACTCCTCGCTGAGGGTCACTCTCTCCACCCAGATGAAGGAGCCCTCCTCTCCTCCTGAGCCCCCCTGCCCGTCGCCGTCGGGGCTGCCCCTGGGAATGCCTTCTTCCTCTAGGCCCTCCTGGAGCCTCGCAGACTCCGGGCCCCTGCCCGCCTCCCCCGGGGCCTCCGAGTCACCGCCCCGCGTGCCCCCCACCCCTTCCCAGACCACCTCCACGACGCCCCGGTCCTCCTTCACCCAGGACGGCAGCTGGGGGCAGCGGGCTTCCTGCCTGTCCGTGATGGCCTCCAGCACCATCGCCTCCACCTTAGCCTCCAGCTCCGGGCCTGTGGCCCCCGTGGCACAGTCCTCCGTGACCCCCAGACCCTCCCACACCACCTTCACCACTGCCCCTCCCTGGGAAGCCGCCACCTCCTGCCTGGGCTCCTGCTCCGGTGGGGGGCTGGGTCCAGGGCAGGGGCCATTGGCTTCCGAGGAGCCCCCTGCTGCCCCGAGCGCCGGCCTCAGGGCTGGCAGAACCCCAGCAGCCTCGTCTCTGGACTCAGAGGGGGACTCTGGGGATGTGCCCAGGGGCCCAGCTGGCAGGGAGGTTCTCTTGTTCAGATCAGTGTAGCCTTGTGGAGTCCGGGGAGGGGAGGAGAGAGGGGGCGACAGGTGAGATTCAGGCCACCCAGACTCAGGCCCTTCCTCCTGGGACCCTCAGACCTAGGGGCACAAACACCCACCTGCAGGACTTGCCTCCACGGTGGGCAGGGAGAGAGGACGGTGCCCCTGCAGAGATGGCAGAGACAAGGTCAGGCCACCTTGCCTCTCCACTCCAGCCTCCCTGCATGCCGATACCCCTCCAATGCTCAAACGCCCTCAATGGCTCCCCATTACCTTCAGGACCAAACCTCTCCTGCCACTCAGGCTACCTCAGCTGTCTTATCGCCCTCTGCTCCCCAGTGCCTCGCATACAGTAGGTGCTTAATCAACACTGTGTCCATGCAGCCAGTTCCGCTGTACTGGGGACCTACTCTGCCAGCTACCGAGCTTACCGTGGACAAGGGAGGCTTTAAGCCTTTTGCTGTTGGAACTTACATTCCAGCGGGGGAGGCAGGTGATAAACATCGACACTAATAAATACATAATGTCAGGGAGTGAGAGGGCTATGGAGGGAAAACAGGCAGGATGAGGAGCTAGGGCATGCCTGGGAGGTGATGGGCTGCCTCCTTTAGGTATGAGATGCAGGAGGGCCTCCCAGAGGAGGTGACATTGAACAGACACCTGAAGAGTGAGAAGAGCCGGCCTGGAGTCAAGAGGTGGAAGGGCATTCCAGGCAGAAGGGACAGCAAGTGCAAAGGCCCTGGGGCTACAATGAGCTGACAAGTCCAAGTGAGAGAAAAGAGGGTCAGTGTGGCTGGAGTGGAGGGAGGGAGGGAATGAGAGGAAGATGGGCTCAGGGAGGGGAGTTGGGGACAGCCCCACGCATCTCCGCACAGGTCTCTGGTCCTCTCCTGCTCTTTCCAGCCTCCAGGCCTTTGCACAGGCTGTTCCTCTGCCTGCCTCCCACTCAGATTCAGCACAGATATCACCACCTCCAGGAAGCCTTCCCTGAACCCCCAACGTCACTCAGGACCTTCCTCTGCACTCAGGGCTCCCCCTCACAGACTCTTTGTACCCCAGCTCCTCATCCGGACTGTGAGCTCCCTTGGGCCAGGAATCACGCCTCGTGCATCTCTAGCTTACACCGAAAACCCAACAAGTGCTTCCCACGCCAATTAATAGGTCTCCTCTCCCTCTTTGCTCTGGGACAGGCACCTGGGAGCTAACGTGAGACATCAGGGAGAGGTGGGGACTGTGGCAAACCCACACCTCACTGGGGCCAGGCTCAATGTTGCTGGATCTTTGAACTTCAAGGACAACCCAGAGAACCAGATTCTACCGTCAAGTGTCCTGGTTTTCAAAAGCCTGTGCGTTCTCCTGCGTGTGGATTGTAGCTTAATAAAGGTGTTACCAAAACAAATGCCAAAACCACCAAACCCAGGCAAGTGTCTCAGATCACAAGTGTCTCACGGTGACCCTCCCCCCTCTGAGGCCGACTTCTATGAGCATCCTCCACAGTGTCCGACTTCGTGCCTGCTCCTGGTGCTGAGCTATGATCTTGTCCAGCCTCCCTCACACCTCCTCCAGGTGTGCACACATTTTCAAGATGGGGAAACTGAGGCTCGAGCAAGGAAAGCGGCTTGCCTGGGACCACAGAGCAAAGACGTCACAGAGGACCTAGTGGTCCTCTAAGCTGCTCAGGGAGAAGGCCTGGACTGCTTGGGGCCCTGCTGGCCACACCCCCACCCCTCACCAGCAGCCCCTCTGGCTCCTCACCTGTCTGCGCCAGGTGGGCCTGCCCGAGGGCTTGTGCTGGGCACCTGTAGACGCGCTTTGCAGCAGCTGCAGCTGGGACTGGAGCCTGGGGAAGAGGGGGCTGCTGGGAGCCGGGGCCCCAGGCTCCACGCACCCCCAAGTCTCAATGTGCCGCCTCCCGGAGTGGCCTGGGGTCCTGGCCTGGCCCGGCTGGGGCAGACCTGGTGGGCAGGGCCGCACTCACGTGAGCAGGCTGTCTTCCAGGTGGCGAATGCGGGCCTGCGCCTGGCCCTCGGGAGACTGCGGGTCCCGAGAGGTGGGCTCCTCCGGCCGCTCTGGCCCCTCAGCCGCCCCATCCATTAGCCAACGCTCCCGGAGAGACTTCCTCTGGGCAGGGGAAGGGAGCCCCAGCTGGGCATACGCACTCCCCCGCCGGGCAGATTTCTTACTGCCCCACAAGCACCCAGAGGGAACAGATATGTGTCCCCCAGGCTGGGAAACGGGCCCTCATTGCCGCCCCACGCGGCCCAGCGGGACAGACGCCCATGACCAGCCCATAGCTCTCCCAGGCTGAAAAAGACACCCCCCACCCCACCGTTCCAGAATGGGACAGACACCCCCAGAGGTGAAACCAATGTCCCTTTTGGCCCCTCCCTACCCCAAAGCTGGACAAATACCTCCACTGTCCTCATACTCTTCTCAAAGGGGGAACAAATGTCTCATCACCACCACCACCCTCTCCCAAGCTGGGAAAGACGCCCGCCCCAAAGCTGGAACCAAGGCCCCCAGCTGCCCCCCAAAATGAGACAGAGGCTCCTGCGGCCCCCCGAACCGACTCTCACAGACCCCCACCTCGCTGCCCCGGCCGGGCAGGCCCCCGCCCGCCCCCACCTTGAGCCGCTCCACGCGGAGCTTCTCCTCCTCCAGCTCCCGGCGCGCCGAGCGGATCTCCTCCTGCAGCCGCCGCTTC